TCACCAATCATGATCCACCGCTTCAGACGATTCCTGCCATCTTGGGGATCCTAAAACTTCACCATACGTTGCAACTGCCAACAAAAAGCTGAACACAAGATTTGATGAATCAAATAAAAAGAGAGGACACCAAAACTGCCGGCGCGACCATACGTTTTTTTTCCACATGAAATTACAGCTCCTTTCTACTCGTTCTGATTCACAAATCCCTCCAAAAAAATTTCAAATTTTTATCTTGTCTGGTTTTGAAATCGATTGACCGTTTAGATATTTTTCATGTCCGTAACTGAGAACTAAGAGGACGTGAATGTTCACTTTACACCTAGGAATCTATCTATAGGTGCCAACATTTCAGCTTCATAGCTTTCGTAAAACTGATATTCAGAAAACGTGGGCAAAAACACAAAACACAAAACGTAAAAAAATTAAAGCATACTTCTTTACATTATGTGCTTTTGCACTGCATCGATGCGAAAAAAAAATGCATAAAGAAGCTGGTCATTTCGTACCTGAAGTAAAAGCGGAATGAAAGTTTCAACTTCCAGGATTTGTGCTGCCTCTTCCATCAAGATGTTGTCGTATCTGAATCCTACTTCTACCAAATCCTTACGTCGCAAAGCCGCATGAGTGCATGTCATGGCAATTATTTTTGCCTCCTTCACCTACAATCATTAAACAATACGCATGAAATAGTTCAAATAAGTGAAACAAAGCAAATTCAAAGTGCAAAAACGAAAAAGCATAATGTTGTTGTAAATAAAATTGAACGAAAATGAGGTAACTGATCGGACAGACCAGGAGGTAATCCGTGCGATCTCTGCCAGAACGCAGCAACTCAAAAGATCGAAATTCTTCAAGCTGTGTAAATATGCCTCGAATGTATCGCCAGCAACCCTGAGCAATCTCCCAATCTTCTTCGAACGAAACACCCTGAAAGAAGCAAAAATTTAACTTCACCCTTAACTATACAGTTTTATAACAATGAATGAATTTGACAACTATTACCTTGAAAAGAGGAGCAGGGACGTCAGCGAAGAATTTCGTGAATGGAAAATGCTCAGCAACTGAGCTAGCCGTAGGATTTGGACTTTTGTCGGAGCGTGCGACATCGCTTTCGAACCGCTCCCAACGAGCGAATACCTGTAACCGAATAGGTACCAAATCGGTGCGGCGTAGAACGAGTTATAAAAAACTAAGAGTCGATACAACGTACTTGATAGAGGAAGAAGTGGCCGGCAGTTTCGCAAGTGTAAGAAACGTCGCCGGTTACTTCAAGGGCTTCCTGCAGCTTTTCTACCTGCAACAAAAGGGAAGTAAATATAAAGCAAGCGAGCAAACACCGCTTTAATGATGAATGGCTAAAGTTGCTGTGTTTATGAAAATTAACGTCAAAGAAACCTCTTTCAAAAGATCGAGTCGCTTCTGTAAAACATAGTTCACGCGACCATACCTGCTGAAATCCTTTTCCGTCTCCAGAGCTTCTTCACCGTGACCTGAACACAAAGCAATTCAGAGCTACACATGCGTCCACACACATACATACAAACAAAAAAATAAGAAAAAAATCGAACCCAGTCGAAGCAAATGGCGCTCGTCCACATCCAATGCTATTATTTTCTCAAAAAGTTGATTAAGCGCTTGATTCGAGTGCGTTACAATTAATGTCCTCTGTTCAGGCCAATTGTGATAGATATTGGAAATTATTTGGACTGCCACATCGGTTTTGCCGGTTCCAGGCGGGCCAACAACCATTGTTAGTCCGGGCTGCATCCCCGATTTGATTGCCTCTATCTGAAAAATAATGCTGCTCAACAATTTCCAGTTCAAAACACCCAAAAATAATGGGAATTTCTGCCTGTAAAACAGTCCTTACTATACAAACGTCTTGACCAAGATGAAAATCAAAAAAAAAAAAAAAAATTACCTGCGCAGGAGTGAAATGTATAGTGTTTTTCCGTGGCTCCACATGAGGATACGGACCTCGACAAGGCAACACGTGTGGCTCCACTACGATCGATGCATCTCTTTGCGATGGCTCGATCCCATGCTGCGGCTCTAATTCTTTGAAAGTGAGCCTAAAATGTGAAGGTTCTCAGAATAAAAAAAAAACGGAAAATCAACTATTTCCGATTATTAACGTGCAAACATCTGCTGCTGTATTGATGCTTAAAGCTTTAGAATTCACTAGGACTGAGGGAACCGCCACGCATCACCAGAAGCCAAAATAAGCTGAGAAAATTTTTAATGCACATCTAATTGATCTGCTTCAATGGATGTCAGAAAACGAACCTGAACGGTGGAACAAGTTGTTCATCGTCTTCTGTTGTTCCAACGATCTTCGTATGTGGGAAGGATAAAACTAAGTGCTTGAAGGACAAAAAA